GCTGCACTCTGCATAACCGTGTTTCGGTCCACACCATACTTTCGGAACGCATCTGTCATGTTGCTTCCTTTGTCAAAAATCTCCAGGACTCCTTTGTTGCACTTAACCACCTTCCATGGTTGAGTAACTAAAATAAACATTAGATTACAAAAAAAGTACATTTGTTAACGTTACAGGAATCATAGTTCATGTTAGGTAATGCATTTACAAACATGAACTAACAATAAACATAATTTATCAACCATTTACTAATGTATTATTAAAATCTTACATTTTACCAATGTAAAATATTAAAATGTATTTCTAAAAGATGTGCTGGTTAACATTAACAAACAATGATCAACTGTTTTTTATTAATTATTGTTAATCAATAAATACTTTAATACATGTATTGTTGGTTCATGTTAGTAAACTATAAGTATGACCTAATATTAAGTTCAGCAATATTAAAAAGTGTTACCATTTGGTAAAAAAGTTTGATTAAAGCTACTTACCAGACATTTCTGTAAATTCATCGTTTGGTTTTTCTTTGGTCTTTCTCCCGCTTGAAGGCAAGAGCTCAAATTACTTTCCTCCATTTAACCGCTTTGCCATCATCAAGCACAACTTCCATTAGCCGCCAGACTGTTGACGAATTATGGGTAGTGTAGTTTTTTTGATGGACTACAAAAGTTTGCCAACGAATTCCTAATTCGCAACCACAATAGCAACTTATATACAACCACATCGCTAAAGAGTTATTGACAAATGCGTCTTCTGGAATTAAATAATTAGCGGTAAAACTTTAAATTAATGATCGCGAATTTTACTTCCGGAACCCTTTCACCTGCGCTCGTGCCCACAAGCCGCGACGACAGCCCAATAAAGAAGTAAACGGAAGTAATAGAATTCAGTGCAACAGCAGGTAAGCAGTGAATTTTAATATTTTAAAACAACAAATAATACTAATTAATTGCATACAGTTAGACATATTTATGTTGCTTTCTGCATGTTGAACGTGAATACATTAACCATTTGTTGTTTGCACAACAAAGATTGATGCATACATGATGAAATCAACTTCCTCCACAAATAAAAGATGAATAATATATAACTTACATGCAAGACATATTACCAAGTGTGCCGCAAGCCTGCGTTTGAGTGAAGGTCTCGGCCGTTAGATCGCCCCCTGGGGGCTGGCTGCAGTACAAGTCATAAAGCTCGCCTCCTCCGTGTTAATGAAGGAGACTTGAGCCCAAATAAAAAAAATAATTACACTTGCAATAAAATGTCCCGAAAGATGGCTCTGGTCGATTAAGGCACTGATTATTGTGCTGAAATAGGTGCAGATCCTCATTTTTGTAAACAGTTTGTTTTTAGCAGTAATTTAATGCTGGGCGTGTCATCAGTTTCTGTCTGAGCGCAGCTGAAGACAAGGCATAGTTGTTGGTATGGAGAAAGCAGTCAGAGGAAAAAACAAATTCAACAGATAATCCAGCTTCAGAGATCCACAGCAGACACAAGTCAAAATAGGCAGTGAACAAGAGAGGACAGATCAGAGCTTGACACAACAGCACTACACAGGAAATGACTAGCAAGTTATTGAAGTTTCAGACATTTATTGTAATTTCATTACATATAAAATCTCCAGTGAGTAATTATGTAGCCTACTTTATTTTAATGCTTTAATAATATATCATATACCAAAATTACATACAATTAAATAAATTTAGAGATACAGGGAAAACAGGTTTGAGTTAACAGAAGTCAGAGTTAGTCTCCGAATACTTACTTAAACTATGAGAAGAGAAAGAAGAGGTCCTGTAGTTGTGGCGTTGCTCGCTGTAAATGGAATGTTAAACTTAGTGTCATTTCAATAACAGCTGTACAAAATAATAAAGTAATTTTTCATAAGCATGATCTATTTTCCACAATATGGACATGCTGTTTTAGTTAGCATAACTACATTTAATAGTAAATAGAGTAGTATACTTCTTACCTCATTCAATTATTCTTTCCATAGATCAGGAATTACAGCAACACTGATCTGAGGTGAATTCAACACCTAAAAAACATTCTGAAAGACAAGTTACATGAGTAATTTGAAAACAACAGTGAGTGAGTAATAAAAAGGTCTGCTAGTCTAAATTTCTATTTTGATTAGTCTTTTGATGTTTTATTTAAAACCCACTCTTTTCTTTGTTCAACAGGCTATTTTCACATGGAGGTAATCTTCTATTGATAATTTCTGGATTTTAATTATGCGTAAGTTGCATAAAACTCTATTGTTTAATATCTATATTAATTAGGCATATGAACATTAATTTATATACTTTAACTTATAGGGATAGCTCACCCAAAACTGACAATTCTGCCATTTAGCCTCAACCTTTATTTGTTCCAAATTTATTTAGCTTTTTTCTGCTAAACAATAAAGAAGAAATATTAAATAAAGCTGGAAAACTGTAACTATTTAATTCCATAGTGTTTTCCTACTATGAAAGCAAATGCTTACAGTCTTTAGTGTTCAACAGAATAAAGAAACTTAAAGGTTTGGAATCACTTAATATTTACAGGGCAAATAATTTGTGAGTACATATCATTTTTGAGTGAACTGTCCCTTTAACGGGACGCAATCTGCACAGAGATGTTTTGTATTTAAAAGTCATTTTGTGTGTTTTGTAAAAAGTTGGTCGGCTCGTGTGATGAAGTATCATACTAACTGATCAAGATGGATATGGAAAAAATTGAACTTCAAAAACATTAATGTCCATTTGACTAAAGACAAGGCGTAGGTAAATAATCAGGAAATGTTTTATTGAGAGATTTAACATAACGTAATGATTTTAATGTTGTTGTCGTCCGTTAACGGAATGCCAAAATGTTACTCGCTCGTAATAACTTCATTACGGCTTTTGTGTGTGTGTAATGTTGGAACAGATTGTTGTCGAAATCGTAGGTTTGTTTGAATATTCACGATTTACGTATCTTATTTAGCAAGAAGAAATAAAGCATTACTCACTTCTCCTCGGTCGTTGATGAATGAGATGACAGCTTGTTGAAATTTAAACTGATTCAGCTGTGACCAGTAAATGTTGTACAGTGGTCGTCCACGCAACCAAAGTATGCGGCCCTCATGATGTTTAAATGGCAACCTTATGACATCATTGTGACAACGTTTAGCAACAACGTAGAATCCTCAACCTTTTTGCAAGGTTGGTACAATGTTGTAGGAATGTCGCTACGTTGAGGCAACGTTGTGTGTTTGTTGGGATTTAACTTATTTATATTGTATATTTTTCTTTGTGTTTATATTGCATGCATATTTTGCAGTATGGACATGGAACAGGTGGCACAGAAGAAAATGTGTCTTTGGAAGGCTGGGGGTTGCACACACACACACAAAAAAAGCATTTTTGCTTGTTCATCAAAGGTCCAGCAATCACCTTATGCCACTTATTAAACAACATTTGCATCCTGGAAGTACCATGAACCTTGGCAATAACCACTTTCCCAGTTATGCAGATATTAATTATCTTAAAACTAAAAATGTGTTTATGTTTTTATAATTGACATAACTATGTAATGTATTAAAGGTTTTGAAAGTCTGAGTGATACATGGTTTTGAGTATTTTTTGGGTCCAGGAAAATCAATAATGTCTGTTTTAATGAACCCACAGATGTTAGTAACATTAGTTATTGTTGGTTTGGTGGTAAGTCATGTTAGTAAAGTGTTAATTAACGTTACTTAAGCATTAGATAATGTTGAAATTGTGCACACTTTACAATAAGGATCAAAATTCTATTAAAAAATCCTTTGTTAATGATAAGTCATGTTAGTAATGTGTTAATTAACGCTAGTTAAGCATTAGGTAATGTTGAAATAGTGTACACTTTACAATAAGGATCATAATTATATGAATAAATGCTTTGTTAATGATAAATCATGTCAGTAAAGTGTTAATTAACGTTACTTAAGCATTAGGTAATGTTGAAATAGTGTACACTTTAAAATAAGGATCATAATTCTATTAATAAATGCTTTGTTAATGATAAATTATGTTAGTAAAGTGTTAATTAACGTTACTTAAGCATTAGGTAATGTTGAAAGTGTACACTACAATAAGGATCATAATTATATGAATAAATGCTTTGTTAATGATAAATCATGTCAGTAAAGTGTTAATTAACGTTACTTAAGCATTAGATAATGTTGAAATAGTGCACACTTTACAATAAGGATCATAATTCTATTAATAAATGCTTTGTTAATGATAAATCATGTTAGTAAAGTGTTAGCAAACATGAATAACAGTTAAAGCTGAGGTTCTGATGTAATACACTCCAAAAGAGTCCTCCTTTGTCCCTGACATTGATCAGGAACTATGCACTTATTAAAAGCTTTACCAATTATGCTAACATGTTGTTCATGTTAACTAACGCCGTTAACTAAGATTGTAAGTTTTCATGAACAAGGATTCAGTATTGCTTTATAAATGTGTTGTTCATTATAAGATCAAGTGATCTAATCCATTAACAAATGCGTTAGTGTATGAGTGAGTAAACATGAACTAATTAAGCTGTTCATGTGGAGATGCATTAGATAATGTGTAAATAAACATTAACAAAGATTAAGTAATGCTGATCAAAGTCCTTAATTACTGTTAGATCATGTTTACTAATGCATTAGCTAACATGAATAAATGTTTAGTTAACATTAACAAAGGTTAGTTAATGCTTAATAAATGCGTTATTCATTGTTAGTTCATGTTAACTAATGCATTAACTAATGTTAACTAATGCACCCGTATTGTAAAGTGTTACCAAAAGTTAATAAAAGCTTTATTTTTTATTTCATATATTAAGTTTTTATTTATGATACTCCCAAAATAAATCAGCAAAAAAAAAAAAAAAAAATTCTGCCCAGAAACAGCTAAAAATGTCCACAGATTCTGTCTGGCCTTACTCATCACCAACGTAAGTTACACCCGGTACAGTAGGTGGCGATAATGTTTTGATGGGTTTGTCTCCATAAAACAACAAGAAGAAGAGCGCTCCGTTTCCAAGCACCAACCAGAAGCACATCAAGACTTCTTTTTACAGTTCATCTCCTGGGCTTTAAAATCGATTCTTCTGTTTTCATGACTCGAAACATGGTTAAGAACTATATTTTATTCTAGAGATTATATTTTATCTTCTTCTCCCGAGTAAACTCCTCCGCGTCACACTACTGCAATGGTAAGTAGCTTAGCAAATTATGTTTTCTCACATAAAGCCTTATTTGTGAGCAGTAAACATATGTGGTGTAGTAATTAAACTATTCGTAGAAGGAAACACCGTGAACTAACGTGCATAACACGATCTTTAAGATTAAATAGGATAATGCCAGGGATTAACATTAAGGCATTTCGAATCTGAATATGACTTTAATTTAGCATTATAACTTTAACACATTGTATTTACAGTACAAATGTTACAAGGGAAGTCAAATGCTATGCTGTTCAAATTTTTTTTCTAGCCCTATTCGTGCAATTGCTTCTTAACACCGAATTCTGACAATCGTTCTTTATGAATCTAATGTAGGAGCTGTAACGTTAGTCACTGACTGGTTTGAAGAAGGTCAAATATCGGTGAAATGGCATGCTAATACAGTCGTGCACATTGTATGAGCGCGAGAATACAGTTTGTTGTCATCTTGTGGAAATGGATGTTTAAAACAAGTCTTAAGTTAAAAAAAAATCTCCAAAATGTTCATTTAACTTTAAATTGTATTGTATTATATTAGGTTAGGTTAAACTTTACTGTCATTACACGTGTACAAGTACTACAAGGCAACGAAGTGCAGTTGAAGTGTAACCTGGAATGCAACAGCAGACCCATTTCATAGCGCATGCACAACTTTATGGCTGGTTTTACACAAATCACGACGTCATGAGTTCACTCCACGCACTGAATTAGCATATTTATATAAACACATATTTCTACAAACACATATTTATATATACACATACACACACACACACACACACACACGCATAATTGTGTATATAAAACAAAATCAAACACGGAGAGTCTTAAAAACCCTTGTGTATGAGCATAGATATATACACTAGATGTCGCCTGGCCTATTGTTGTCTATTGGACGAAATGCGTCAATAGCGCCGCCATCTTGCTACAGGGTAGCGCTCCTTTGAAATTAATGCGGGACCAAGGTACAGTGGAGGACTGTGGCCATGCAAAGCCAGAGATATACACATAAACACATATATCTATGATCGGGAGTTTTCCTGGATGTTAATATGTAATTATTTTTCTAATTATGAAAATTATAATTTTACATCACTTTTCTACATTGATGGATCAGTGACCACACGGGCATTCCTGACAAAAAGCTTGTATTTGTGTGTACAGAAATGTACTATTCACCCTCCCTGTTAAATTTAATCTAATCTGTGTCCTGAAACACACCTCCTCTGCTTTCACTTCTCATACTGACGGAGAGAGCGATTAATTTGTGAATGAATCCCCCGAACAACTCTTTCACTAACGTTAGGCGACAATAATACAAGTTTCTGGCTGCGCAGCATCTCGTTGTCATATTTCTTTTGCATTGTTTGCTGATTTTATTCAAGCCGAGTGTTTAGTGCGAGTTGGAGCTGTTTTGCCTTATGGTGAATTCAGTAAGTGACTGTTATCATCAATAACGCTACCCGATTAGCACAAAAGTTCAGAACATACAAAAACAGAAAAAACATAATATTACCTATGAAATGTTCTGCCTTTATGCTTTGTTTTCTTTGTTTGCTCGTTACTACACCCGTAGACAGCGCTAAAGTCCCGCATCTTCTCGTAATAACACTGTCTTGACTAGTGCGGTTGAATGACATTTGTCCTGGGAGCACTGTACCAATGTGGCGGCGCTATTGACGCATGCTCAGGGTCCCTATGCGATATCTAGTGTATATATCTATGGTGTATGAGGAACTACTTTCTTCCGCATTCAAATCATAAGCTGACAGTTAAACAGTTGAGCGAGCATCTTTTAAACTTTAGATCTGTAGTTTCTGCTTTTTGTTGGCTGTAGGAGTTCTGATATGGCAGAATATCGCATGGCTATCAGCCAATCAGATTTGAGAACCAGACAGAACTGTTGTGTGTACATATATATATATATATATATATATATATATATATATATATATATATATATATATACATATATATACATACACAAACACACACACACACATTATTTATTTATATATACACTAGGGCTGCACGATATATCGTTTCAGCATCGAAATCGCAATGTGCGCATCCGCGATAGTCACATCGCAGGAGGGTGCGATGCAAAAAAAAAAAAAAAAAAAAATTATATATATATTATGGGTGGAGCCGAACCGGAATACGGTATTCGGAAAAGCAGGAATAGCGTGTTTTTACGAATACTTATTTCAAACAATACTTGATAAATTATTTGTATTTGGGAACAAGAAAAACATTATATCAAAAAGCTGCGTTTCCTCATGAGACCGCACTGCATGCCCGCGTGAGTGAGTGAGTTAGTGAGTGAGACGTTCAGGAGTCGGTGGGCGGGGTGGGGCCGGGGTAAGGAGACTGAGCAGGCTGCTTCTCTATACAGCAACAAAGAAGGCTTGGCAGAGCGAAAAATACTTTTCTGCATTACTATTTTTGTTTATTTTATCATACTAAAATAACACGTGACAGAAGTTCACTCAAAAGTGAAAGTTCTTTCTGTTATTTACTAACACTCCCGTCATTCCTACTACTTTCAGAACATAAATTTTGATATTTTACCATATGAGAATGCAATGCAGTTATGAAAATTAAGAAATTAAAGCAATACAGAGATCTGGTCCCCGCGTCAGGTCAGGGTGCACCTGTAACCTTAAAAACGCAGACGCGGCGGAGGCGCACTAAACTCACACGGGAAAGAACTGGGCATTCAATATGTTTTAGTGAAATAATTATTTAAATACAGCTCTTTTGATCTCTAAAGGGGAAAATAGCAAAAGAAATTTGTCGTTAAATTAATTTTAGCAAAGACGCAACTGCCTGTCATTTTCACATTCGTTTTTCAGTTAGGGATTTGGTCTATTAGAGTAACCTAATAAAATTGTTTTGTTGAACATTGTAGTCTACACAATAATCGATATTATAATTTATTAAATACATTAGCTATTATTAAAACTAAACTATACAATTGATAAAACAAAACCCTTTTTAATGTTTGCTTTCATTTTGACACCGCTAACAGTTGTAATAAGAAACATCACATTATGCAGAAGCATGCAGTCTCAAGTTAAAAACACCTTTTGAGTTTAAAGATGATCAGCCTGCCAAGTCAAGTTTACAGTGTCATAAATGAAATGGGTAGCGAGAGTAAAGGGGATTTGCCCAGCACACAACCTCATGCGCTGCAGGTAGGCTGAATGATAATCTTTAAAAATATATAGGCTATGCAATACAAAACTTTAAACATTTATTTATTTTTTAATGAAAAGAAAAGAAATCAGGAGAGTAAAATATAATTTAAACCACTGGTCTGGCGCTGATACTTTATTGTTTGTATCCAGAAGAAGGGGAAAAAAGCACGTGAAAACCTGGCTGGGGAGACGGCGATAACATATCAGTTCTTCAGCAAAGATCACATCATTGTGATGCGTTTATCATACAACGCAGTTCGTGTTTATAATCATTAATATTAACTAGGATTAATTCTCTCTCTAGACTTAGTTTTAGGGCTTGTTCTTGTCGGCGCAATATAGCCTCGGCTTATTGCACGTACGAATCCGATTGTGAAGAATGATTAAGCGCTTGCATTTTTTATTGGATCCTTTTCGCAAGTTATTCATTGTTTTGTTTTTTAAGTGGTGCGAACATTATTTACTGGCAAACATGTTCCTCGATCTCGTACATCAACAAATAATGTAGCCTACTTAAGTTAATTTACCTTTTATGTAAAAATTAAGGAATAACCGAATTTAATATTAATAAATAAAACATCCGTATAAACGTACATGTTTATTTTTGAACTTTCGTTAATAAAACAACACAAAACTGTTTATAAATATTGTAGTTAAATATTACATTACTTTAACTGCTTGAAACTGTATAATAATAACAATTTAACGTTACATTTTTAAGAACTTAACAAAAATTCTAAATGGCACTTTATTAATCAGTGTAATAATAATATAAATATTAATAATTATACGTAAAAAGAAAATATTAACCTAGTAACAATATAAGTCAGATGTTTAAAAAAACAGCGTAGTTTATCTCCACCTTTTGTAGTCATATTTTTAATTATTTGCCAGAAAAACTAACATGTTGACTTTCTCCGGTTTAAGTGAAGAATGGGGTTATAATGTTTCCAGCAATACACTGTCAGACGGTGTGCTTGTAGCGAAAAATGCACAGACAGGCTACTTTTTCACAACCATGCGATAGAGGGCTTCTGCTTCTGTTCCGCCGCCCGCATTTCTCGCAACGCAGGTTTCTCTACGCTGCGGAGCGGCGCGTTCTTAACTAGTTACCAAATAGCCTATGCTCAATTTCTCGTCAATGTCTTCCATTTATCACTTTCTCTTTTGTATCTGGCCATTTTTGCAAATGCCTCTGCCATGCCTGGCTGAGCTGGGCTTCTGCGTTTAGAAGACAGGAGTTGATTAAGCCTACATGGCTTTTTTCCCTCGCCGTCAATCGCCACTAGCTTGCATGGTTCGGGACCCGTGGATCTGCGTATCGATGGATTTGCTCCTCAGTGTTTGGACTCTCAGCACTCAGCAGTGAATATTAAAACTCACTTTACTTAAAACCCCCATACAAAAAGCTTAATCCAAATTGATTGGTTCACCTTTCTAGTTCGGCACGAATCCAAAATGTTCCCAGATGTAAGAGTTCGTTTTCTAACAAGATTCATGGTTGAACTTGAACTTGCTGAATCGCGCCTAATGTTATATTCTAACAGATATGTAATACTTGGCAACATAACAGTAATTTGTGTTTTAAAGTGCGTGACGTCACGTACTACGGCCGGTGGCAATGGACAACCGAGGTGGCAATGACCACCGGGGTGACGCGGTTATGGTGACCGTCACAGCCCTAGTTTTAAGTATATATATATATATATATATATATATATATATATATATATATATATATATATATATATATATATATATATATAAAATATCGCAATATATATCGCAGAG